ACTAATCACGACCGCCATGCCTTGTTTAATTGTATTTATAGATATTTTATTGACATCTTCTTTGACATCCTCAAGGCGGGGCATTGTCAAGCTGTTGGGTATTCCTCCTGAATCCTCGTAAAGATCTTCTAAAGTAGCGATAGCTATATCCATCAGMCCTTTAAACAAACAGTTATAACGACAAATCAATAAAGAAAAACAGTGCGAAAACATATCAATTAATTAATAATTTCATAGCTCAATCATTTTCCATTCATTTTTTTTTGCTCTTGACTATGTTTCATTAGCGTGTAAAAACACCTTCATCTTTCATATTTGTTTCTCTTCGAGTGAGCTTTATTGGGTAAAGTATGTTATCAGTATTTTTTAATTTAAGACAAACCATTTAAATAAATAATTTATATATGTGACCTTTTTAGAGTAAAAAATACTATGAAAAATTTTCCAAGACAATTACAGAACAAAAGAGAGCAATGAGTTTTGATCTATTACTTAAAGTGCACATGAAACCTTTTAGCAAATCACTTTTATACTAAATTATTCCTTAGTAGAAGTCACTTTATTTGCATTTTCTAAGTTTCAAATACCCATAAATTAGAAAATACATGCAATTTAAAATCAATTTCTTTCTTCACAGATGTACTTAGCAGCATTTTCTCTTTTGGATGAGAATCAATTTCTATAATGGTGTCATGTGCACTTTAAACCCGGCATATTATTCTTTCGAGGCCAAAGGAAAATCACTCCATCATAATCACAAACCCCCATATCTAATGTATATTAATTTGCCTTCCACTCACCTGCTTGTAGAGCACCACGTATTTGTTCGAGTCCAGAACGCCTGTCTGCTTCATTTCGAAATCGTCTTCTAATGACAGGAAACACTTTTTCTTCCCAAGCCTTCACTAATAGATCACTAGGGTTAGCAGTCTTGTGATCCAGGCTTTCGACTTGACGATCGTCTTCTTTTAGATGGCTTGACGGGCCAACATCGGTCATGATATCACAGGTACTTGACAAAAGGTAGTTCAAAGATGAGCTGGGATCATATTCTGAAAGAAGAATCGGTCATTTCAGGCGCGTAGTGTCCTTCACGCATATACGCACGTGTACTAATGACAAGGAAATATTAAAATGTTCACAAMAATTACTGAAAAATTCACATAAAATTGATCCCTTTTATATGCCCTCGATGTCTCTCAAAACGTTGAGAATTGCATTTTCTAGAGTTATTATTTMAAAATTTTCTGGGGGATGTCCAGACTCCCTTAATACTCCCGCATTTTGCGGTAGTTAGACCGCCATATCCAAAAGATGTATCGCGGTCTCTGACATGTGCGTACTAGCCAAAACGTCCACGCTACGCGCCTGCATTTCAACGTTCTGTACAAACAATACAAACTGGGTTTCTAAGCTTCATTTACWACACCTATCTTGAAATCACTGCCAAATCTTGTGATCTGATTGGTTCTCAATTCTCGGGAGAGTATGAATAAGTTTTCCTTAAATAGTACTTGGAGTAATTAACCAATGTGTTCAAAAGCAAAGCGATTGATGCATAGCTAACCTCTAAAATCTGTGATCTGTGACACCAATTTCAACGGRTCAGGTTTATTCTTTGTTCTACTTGACGTCTCTTGACTAGTCASCGGTGGTTCTCGTTSTATTTCGTCATCGCTGTCCTGGGAAAAAGGCAGCTCTTGMAGCATATTTCTAATTTCTTCCATTGAATCAGTAACCAGGTCAGCGGCTTGCCGTATCTTGCTTCCCTTGGCATATTTAAAGGGACTGTTTCCGAAATTAACGCGAACTCTAACATTCTGAAAAAATAAATTTAAACTTAAAATAAATCTCAAAATTCACTAGGTTCAAAGCTCAAATACTCAAGCCGTACCTTTCTCTGTAKGTGAACAACTGGCCAAAGACCTGCGTTGACGTCATTCAAGCATCCAGGTAACYGCTGACCATTGTGAGTGAAGTACACAGTGCTTACATTGTCWTCMGACCTCGTGTAGCCACAGCCTAGCACGTGACCTTGCATTAAARCGAGGCCAGTATTTATGGTTTCCCATGACGTGAAACCACCTCTCTTGTAATGTACAGCAATTCCATTACTAGAAAATAATCATTATTTCAAAGTAGACATTATTTCATAAAACTGATAAGTGGGAGAAAGGAGTATTCTCATTTATACAATCATTTTTTATCATGTAGAGCTCAGCAGAAATGATTTCTTCAGCGAATAGTGTTTAATTCGCTGTTCGTGGAATAAGAGCTTTATTCTATATAGTTTCCAGGTGATTGTGAAGTCTATTGATCATTTTCACCATTTCCATGTGATTCAAAAGCTAAAAAACCGGCGGCCATGTTGGATGAATGAATAATAGATACTTATGTGAAATCCTTTGTTGATGGTACTCCAAGATGGCCGCTGTGACATAACTTGTAAACGAAGTCAAGATATTTCTTTATTTATTTGTCACTTTCTCTTGAGTTTTGTATTTTTGCTAAACTTGTGTAAAGACTTATGTATCACTTCACAATCAAACAACTCTCTTGACGAGTATAAAAGGAACAAATAACGTATCTTAACTTACTCGTGTATTAAGCATGCGCCAACTGGAGAAGACCACTTTTCAGGGGAATGTGTAACTGCGGGCGCAAGACCAATAGAAAGCGAGCAGCCACCAGCCGTGTAAGTGTCTTCAGCTGTGTTTCCAAGAGACAGCACCTCTACTTCCCAATAGAAGGAAGGAGCCTGAAACACATAACAAACCTTGTTAGATCTCATGTAAGCAGTACGTACGGAACGTACGGAAACGTACCTTSACTGGTATCGAAACAGTCGAGTATATATACGAACCACGAGGTACACTTTGTAAACTGCTCCCCTCGTAAACCAAATGAGCCACCTTACACCGCTCAGACATAACCACACCCTGAACTGGGGGAAAATCCTTTGTGATATCTAGAGTTACATCTTTTAGTTTTCCTTTAAGACCGCCATTTGAAGGTTTAATCAAATCCTTGAAAAGCTTTCGTAGTTCCTGGCAATGTGACTCGACGATGGAWAGACGTTGTCCGGGATCGCAGTCATTCGCGAGGGTTTCGATTGTTTGCATAGGATTTGAATGGTGTTCATTGAAGACATTAGAGAACGCTTGGGACTTCATTTGACATGCCAAAGCCATACTTGCTCTGAAATAATAAAGTTCACATCAGTTTTCCCTCTCTGAGCAGTAATAGGACATTTGTATTATGGCGTAACTTTACTACAACTACCAGAGAGCCCTGCACATTTTCATTGTTATTAAGATTTTTAATCYCCTTGGAGATTAATAAAACAATTGGCAYTAWTTKCATTACAAWAGARAGTTGGCAAAGCATTCTGGTAGTTGTAGTAAATGACGCCATAATGCAAATCGGCTATTAATTATACTTGCAATGCTTGTAGTGCTCGAAAACTACCGTTTATTAGTCCTGGACCTTAATTAGTAGATTTTATTACCATCAAGTATGAGTAGCTATTAAGAAACAAGTGAAACATTTGTTGGTTGTCCTCAAAAAAGTTAGAACAAATTTTGAATCACATAAAACTGATCTTCAATGTTTTAAGCACATGTTAACATGAGCATTCAAAATACTAACCGATCCCCAACAACCAACGCTGGACAATTAAACATTTCTTCCATGGAAAGGGCTTATTCTGAATAGGCAATGTGCAGCGAAGCCATTTTGTGCAGCAAAGGATGATGGTAGTTTGTAGTCCTCGTACTTTTTTATGTCCGCTAAAATCTAGCGGCTATCAGCGGCTATCTTTAAAAGTTAAAAGGAAAGTGAGTGAGTGACACATCGTCCCCCTCCAATAACTCTTCGATTGCTTTCGCAATCTCCGAGTTAAAAATGGCTTTTAAGGAGATTTTTAGGGGTTAAAAGTACGATAACTACAACTACCATCATGCTTTGCTGCACAAAATGGCGTCGCTGTCTATTGTSTGCATGTGATGTCCCATGTGTTTGCCATTCACTGTGCGTGACACATACCTTGTTTTCATYTCACACAGTAGCCGTGCAACAGATGTTTGAAGAAGTACAACGTTACCATCGTGTGTAGCACTAGGGCAAGGTAGCGTGACATCTCGTGTTTTCAAGATTTCGTGAAGTGCTTCMAGTGTGGTGTTTACCAAATCAAGTTTATCCAYCAAAACAATCTTAAATTTGAGCAAACGTGTACGATGATAAGTTGTGTAGTTTTGTTCTGTCTGTTTCGCTTCGTTTTGTCTTTTTTTTTCAATCTTTTTTCGTTTTTTTTTTTCGCATGCCTTTTCCGTCTATTTTTTTACAATTTTATTCCGTTATATATTCCTTTCTTCAGGAATTTTCTTTGGTTTTATTTTGATAGAGAGTTGCCTTTTGTATAATAAAGTTGAATTACGTCAGATTTTCCCGAATTTTCATGGTTTTGTTGGASAGTCTTTGCTTGCTTCGATTCGCTTTTTTAGTTGGTTAGCAAAATAAAGCAAACTAAAGCTTACCTGTTTGTCTCTCAGTTCAAGTCTTGCCAAGGGCACATTAAATGRACTTTGTACTTCTCCATCGCGCATGTCAGGTAATACAGACGCTGTACACAGTGATTCATTGATATTTGTAACTTCACACGTGACTAACTCTACATCTTCCCCGGTGATCTATGAAAAAAATCAATCAATTCAGATTTGATTGAGTACAGTAATGTATTTTCAGTCTGGTCCCGGCCTGAGGTTATCGCGTTTGCTTTATGCAGACCAGTCACATCTTTTTACAAGGAATGCTAAGACCAYAAAACACGMGCAAAATGTTCACAAAACGTCMTCAAAATTACCTTTGCTTTACATCCTGAATACACKGTTTGYTGAAATCCTCCCAAGACACACAATGCAGCCATGACATGACGTGAAGAAGTMAGCATYTCGTCTTGCTTATCAGGAAGATTCTCATCGCCATTTTCTGATGCCAAATACTGCATCAACTGTTCTACACGGTTYGCAATGTTGTCTATCAATAATGGCACTAAGCTCAGTGCATCTGAGATGACAGTCTTGATTGCTGTGGACCAAAGTTTCGTGGTGYTGTCAGAATAACATGACGATAAGAGAGACTGGAGMAGAGAGATGACTTCGGACGCCATAGCTAACGATACTTGACCACTAACAAATGGCTGACGGGACGATTCACTGTGATAGGAATAAAAAAACAGATAAAAAATATCAGCCATCATCTCAATCTAAAAGAAACGGAAAACCCACGTGAGTCCGAGAGCCTTTGCGCGATTTTCACACATGTGAAAATCGGCCATCTTTGATTTTGAACCAATCAGAAATGAACTTTCAACAACAGATTTGTTTTTAACAAACCATCGCAATGGCTCTCGGTTGTAAGTGAGCCTTTAATGGAAATTTAACCAGAATCCTTGGGGAACAGATAAAGCATGATGGGAACTCTTTCCCCATCATGCTTTTCAGAAGGAAACGGGGTCGCTGCCTTAAAGCCTATTGACACCATATCTATATACGGCCTCACCTAGCCAGCTTCCGATTTCGCAAATGGCAAATCTCTTCACTCGAMTTGAGTTGTTTTTCGTCTTCTGATGCTCCCAGTTCATGATTGGCTGGAGMAATGCTAGTTACCAGGCCCACGTTCGCAAGATGAGAGGCTCTACTCTGGCAAACTCGCAGTGAATCATTTAGAACTAGCACTTGGTTATTTTGTGTCAACTCTTGATCRAAGCGAACGGCACGATTAATCTCCTCGCCAATCCCAGAGGCCAATTGCTGTCCTAACRAACTGAAAAGTATAATGTTCAAATAAGGTAAATTATGCTGGACGGGAGTTTTTGTGMCTCGCGAAATGGGTCAGGAATAAGTGAATGAAAAATAAGCCAATTTACTTTTTTGACTCTTGAAAAAGTGATGGCTGAAAAATCGCTAATTCGTCTGCATCATAAACAGTTCATTTTCATATCTGAAATTACAAAAAAGGTTCTATTTTGAGCACTGACCTCATAATTTTCTGAACGACTTCATGTGCAGGTTGATTGACTCTTTTGTGCACATACACTAGATAGCTTCCCTCACTATCCTTCTTTGCCTTTCCTTCCTCTTTATYCTTATCATTCGTCTCTAGTGGCGTGCAAGGAAGAACAAATTCGCCCAACTTCATCAGTAGTAGTTTTGCAACTTTTACGACAGGTTTGAGGTCTGCTTCGCCCAGGTAACTCTCGCTATTTGCTGGAAACTTAAGTTCTTGACAACTGGCTTCTGTCATCAGTGGTAAGGCAACGTGGCATAGTCTCAGGACGGCTAATACTAGTTTAGGAGGAGAATCGAAGTCAAGAAGGACRGCCAGCAGTGTCGAGACTGTACAGGATTGCTGTAAAATAGCTTCACCCATCTTGCTCCTATAGAACAAGTTATACACATTATACACATTTACCAATATATATTGCTTGTCTGGGATTCGACTTGTTGTTGACTAAATTTCATTGGAGCATTTCATTGTTTGGTATTCGATGAAAGCATTCTTACAATGAAAAAAATAGCTTTTAAAATGATAAAAAATGATTTTTTCTACCAATTTTGTGATTACCAATGATCATTGCACAAAAATGCATTGGAACAAAAATTAGTTTTATACATGCAGTTGGTAATGGATAAATTATCGTACTTCGTTCATGCTTATGGACTAACAATGGGAATAGACGATCTATAAGATACCGCTGRCGCTTTAAAAATACTGCAGGCCCGCATATGAAAACGAGGTATTTTTGTGCAGGGTTCCAAAGGTTTCCAAAATCTTTATCAAAAATGCACACTTTTATGCGTATGTAAATCTTTTGAAACCACCAACACATCTCAAATCAGTTAAATAATATGATTTTAAAGAGAAGAGATGTTTTATATACCTTATTCATGAATAACGTGACATTAACATGACAGCCAGTCACGTTATATGAAAACAATATGCAAGTAAAGAGCTAAAATGCCAAACCTTTTTGTCCATCATATTCTGTTTTACGTATTCAGAAAAGCGGGTTTCTAGCTACTTTAAACTTTTATTTATGCAATGCCACAACAACAGCAATATTCAAAAATCAAACCATTTCCACAAAAATGCCAAATTAATTCCATGATTTTTTCCCGGTTTTCAGTGAGAGTTTTATCGATAATATGTTAATATAGCTTTTGTAGAAAACGAMAAAATTCTCTGGTTGAAATCCAATTTTAAATATTTGTACAACATATGAATAATAAGGTGACTTCTAGAGCATAAAATATTTTGCTTCATGAACCAATCAGAGAGTAATACTCGAACAGCGTGACGTAACGTCTGCATAGTCTGATTACCAAGAAACGCTTCGCTTCGTTTACTTCKTGCTCGAGTCTTRACTACTAGAGAAAATGCTTTCTGCGGCATCYGATCCTGTTCTTTTAATCGAAAATCGATTTACATAAACAGAGAATTGTCCTCAGAAATAATACACTGTGAAGAATACATATGTTCGATGATAAGTGGATTTTAGCTGTCAAGACACAATTGAATTCGAAGAAGGATCGTGTTTACATCTTATAGGTAAGATCGGTCACAATTTATCGTAAAATAATACTACAGTTAAGGTAATCTAGAAATTTAATCAATATAAATAAATATAAATTGTCGATATCATAACAGAATGGGTTTTTAAGATGTCTCAAAACGTTATGCATAACATACGAGACGTGACGAGGTCATTGGATCAGCTATTTTGATGGATAATTTAGCAGACTCGGAAACAACGAAATGAGAACCCGTTTATTCTGACTAGCTACAGCAAGAATGTAAAAATGCTGTATGCATTGTAACGCATCACACGTTTTTCAGTCATGATAAGCCGTGTCCCCCGCCAGATATTTTTTCCGTAACTTGAAAAAATATGTATTATATATATATTTCTGCAGATTTTCAGTAGAATCTTCTAGTTTTTGAAGAGCTTCTAAGTGAGGTTTATGAGGGTTGATTATGCCTTATGCTACGACGGACTTTAACTATAACCTGAACTTGCAGTAGAGCGGATATAGGGGTACTCCCCTATATTTGCTATACGGGTATGTGCCGCTCGATGGGGAGAGCTTGGGTTACTTCGATCCGTTAATTCTGGAATCGTGATTGGTTKAAACTGACATTCCTTATATTCAACTTTGGCTCAAAGTTCAGTTACATCTTCTAACCCAGGACTTGGCTGACATYCGATCCATAAAATACAATTAAGAGATGTTGATGTACAATTACGAGTAAAATGATTAAGTTCTCAATGATAATCGTTTAGGCACTAAACAAGAACAAAGTAGTCCACTTTGCTAAAAAGCACTGAAAGCTTTTCAAACCCCTTGACAATGTCAATATCATGCAGAGATCCAAGACAAATAGGGAGATGTAAAAGGGAAAAATAAGGAAGTGGAGAAAGGAAAATTAAACCAGCAAAGGAGTTAGGTGTTCCTGTGATGCCKAACAGTAAATGGGAGAATAAAGAAATCACATATACAATTTTGCTTGCAAACGTTTGTACCTAGTTAAATCAATGGCAATGTGACCTGTCAGTACATTTGTGCAAACTTTAGACATAAAGTTCTGCTTTTCCATGAGCTTAGAATTTATAATTATGGTGGGAGAGGGGTTAGGAAGCAAGTGAAAGGTGTGGGGGACAGGGGACGGGGGAAGAAGGAGAACGACTTGTACGTTCTTACATCTGTGAAATCTTTTGTTCTTTAGAGCTTGGCCCTAATTGATCTTACAAAAATGAATATGAAGATTGTCCTTTTTATAAGGTTTTGTGTAATGTATGGAATGTCTCAGTGTGCTGCACTTGAWTACCAARCAACAACAAAACAGGAAGAAATTATCAACTTATTGGAAGAATGTKTGGTGATGGCCCTTTTTCTACAAGATAAGCAAACACAAGAACTAATCTACGTGACACTTGGAGATTTTTATCGCAAAGTTCGTAAGACAGTTAAAGCCATTCAATGCTATGAAAAATATATTTCCCTCATTAATAGTGCCGGACTTAAAAGCACAAAGATGGAAGTGTACCACTATTTAGGACTTTGYTATGAAACATTAGCAAAATATGAAACGGCAATCCAATATCATTTWAARGTGMTCAACATTTCCAAGGAGATCGGTAATAAAGATGTAGAGGGAAAGGCCTATGGAAACTTAGCAAATGCTCATTACTTACTGGGGAAATATAACAAARCTATTGAATATTACAAAAAAAGACTAAGCGTTGCTAAAGAGATTGGTGACAGACCGGGAGAACGAATGTGTTACGGAAATATCGGCCACGTTTACCATGCATTAGGCGAATATCAGCAGGCAATGGAGCATCAGGAAAAGAGCTTAAGCATTGCTAAATCAATAGGTGACAAAAAGGGAGAGCGAACTACCTATGGAAACATAGGGGTTCTTTATCAATCATTAGGAATGTATCACAAGGCGAAAGAATATCATGAAAAGAGTCTTAGCACTGCTATAGCGATTGGCGACAGAGAAGGAGAAGGACATTCATATGCAAACTTGGGAAATATCTATTTCGCAGTAGGAGAATATCAGAAGGCCATAACTTATCATGAAAAAAGCCTGCACATTGCCAAAGTTATCAGAGACAGAGRAGGAGAAGCAAAGTCTTATGGTAACTTAGGAAACGCTAGCCAATATTTAGGGAAATATCACAAGGCAATCGAGTATTATGAAAAAAGCCTTRAGATTTCCAAAGACATTGGTGACAAACAAGCACAGGGAAGTGTTTATGGAAACTTAGGAATTGTCTACGAGTCAATGGGACAATACCATAAAGCAATTGAATATTATAAAAAACACCTTAGTATCTCCTTAGAGATCGGTGAYAGAMGAGGRGAAGGAAATAGCTATGGGAACTTAGGAAATTCCTATAAATCATTAGGGAAATATCAAGATGCAATYGGATATCATGAAAAAAGCCTTAGAATTGCTAAAGAGATTGGTGATAGAGAGGGAGAAGGAAGTACTTATGTTAACTTGGGTAGCATCTATTGCGCACTGGGAGAATATCACAAGGCAAYTGAGTATCTTRAAATAGGCCTTAGCATAGCTCAAGAGATTGGTGACAGAGAGGGAGAAGGGATAGCTTATGGTAGCTTGGGAAGTGCCTATGACGCATTGGGAGAACATCACAAAGCAATTGTATATTTTGAAAAGAAACTAAGCATTGCTAAATTGATTGGAGACAGGCGAGGAGAAGGAAGTTCTTATGGAAACTTAGGAAACGCCTATTATTCGTTAGGGAAGTATTACAAAGCAATGGAGTATCACGGAATGAGACTTTACATTGCAAGAGAGATAGGAGACAAAAAAGGAGAGTTAGATGCATATGGTAACTTAGGAAGCGCCTATAACTCATTGGGAGAATATCATATGGCAATTAAATATCATGACAAGAGCCTTAGCATTGCGAAAGAGATTGGTGACAGGCAGGGAGAAGGAAGCATTAATGGAAACTTAGGAATTGCCTACCGATCAATAGGGGAATATCACAAATCAGTTGAATGCCATGAAAAGAGTCTTAGCATTGCTCAAGCAATTCGTAACAGAGAAGCAGAAGCAAATGCTTATGGAAATTTAGGCGCCACCTATCAACTACTACAGCAATACAACAAAGCAATTGAATGTCATGAAATGGAACTAGCAATTGCTAAAGACACTGGTTATAGAAGAGGAGAAGGAAATACTTATGGTAACCTAGGAAGCGCCCACAGAGCATTGAGAGAGTACCCCAAGGCAATTGAATGTTATGAGAAGAGCCTTCGCATTGCTGAAGAGAGTGGAAGCACACAAGCTTTAGCGGATTCTCATTATAACTTAGGTAAGTATTACGATTGTATGTGTAATCAAGACTAATGATTTCATAAATGATTAAACCATATTTTCAGTGTAAGCATACGCTCCCTATAGGTGGGGTGAAAGATGCAAGAGCCACTTATTACTTAGAATAATTAAATTTTGATGGATGTCGTGGAAGCTGTTTGTTATTAACAATTTGAAAAATTAAATGAAAAATTATGAAATCCGTAAAGATACATTTTCAGAATAGAACATCAACGAAAATCATTTAGGAAAAAATGACAATTCATTACAAACAACAACAACAACAACAACAACAACAACAACAACAACAAAATACTGATAAAGGATTCGAGAATAGATTATTTGCCTGAGAATTCCATCTTCTAAGTCATCATTTTCCCGCCATTAAACGTCGAATTCCATACTTGACCAATACATTCTCTCACAACAAAAGTCAGCTGTTGAACCGCGTAGAACAAATTAAAGTACAAAACATTAATTTATAATTTATTGATAATTCTTCCCGAAGGTTCTGTCTATCAGGATGAAAATGACCTCAAAGACCTTGACAAAGCTAAGGAACACCTAAAATGGAGTATCGAACATTACGAGAATTTGTTTAATGAACTCAAAGAAAAAGAACAATTCAAGATTTCCATTGTCGATAGATTCATCAAAGCCTACAAATCGCTCAACGAAGTCCACATCGAAACTGGACAAACCGATGAAGCCTTATTAGTGTGTGAGAGTGGAAAAGCCCGAGCTTTGGGTGATCTTTTGAGTCACAAATACAACATTTCCAATGGAGGAACTGCACCACAAGATCAAACTGCTATAAAACTTGTGGACATCAAGAAGACAATTTCGTTGAGTCCTGATAGCTGCATTCTCTTTTACAATCTCCACCATACTAAAGCATTTGCTAACATGTGGGTTATATCTCCCCAAAACGAATCAATTTTCTTCCACGATGAAATACCTGAGCGCGAAGCTTTGAAGAAAAAATTCTCAGATCTGTCTGAGGATGAAAAAGACAACCTCCATAAGGGRCATTTTCAGGTTCTGCTTAAAAACAGTTTTCAATACATGGGCGTCAGAGAAATAAAGAACTGTGAAGACAGATCTCTGGGATTTGTTGAAAAAACCGCTTCAGACTCCAAACGAACCGATGAGGATGACAAAAGATGGAGATGGTTGGAGGCAGAATGTGATGAAGAGATRTCACTGGAAATGATTTTCGATAGATTAGTTTTCCCGGTGCTGCACAAGCTGACCCAAGGTGAGATTATCATCATTCCAGATGGCCCTCTGTTTATGCTGCCATTCGCTGCTCTTCAAGATCCAAAGACAGGAAAGTTTTTATCAGAAACCAAACGCATTCGCTTGGCACCATCTTTGACGACTTTGAAGATCTTACAAGAATCCTCAGATGACAATTATTCCAAGGTAAAGATCAATTCTACTGTGATTGTTTCTCCGTTAAATCAAAACTCCAAATTTTGACTAGCTGCATATAACAATACTCCCTGCTGCGAGTATTAGGAGTATGTCCGGCTCTCAGAGAGAACTTTCAAAGCAGTTACGCGGAATTCGGAGTTTTGATGGGATCATCTTGTAGTTTTCCAACATTTCTTCGCTTCGTATTCTTACAGTGACCATATGTGCACTATAAAAGAGTCCTCTGCCTATGAAAGATGTCTTATCCCAACATATWCAGTAGCTAGCTAAAAATAATAACCCACTTTCGATATTTTGGTTGAATAACCACGCACAAACGAATTCAAGATGAGGCTCCGAGGTTTTTTTCTGAGTCACGTGGTCTTCCGTTCTTTTGTGCTGACAATTCCACCAGAAAATCGAAATTGGATCTTTTTCTTATTATTATTGCTAGTCAGGAGCACTGATCATTGGCAACCCAGCGTCGGGAAAAGTCAAATATAAAGGGAAAGAAAAAACTTTTATCTCTCTACAAGGTGCAGAGAATGAAGCTAAAGAGATTGGCAAACTACTCGGAGTAAAACCATTGATAGGAAAACACGCGACAAAAGAACGAGTCCTAGCAGAACTCAAACGTGGTGTGTCCGTCATACACTTTGCTGCACATGGMTGYGAGGAAAACGGACAGATCGTCCTTGCTCCTTCTCAACCTTCAACAACAAACGACATTCCAGAGGAGAAAGACTACATTTTGACTATGAAGGAAGCACAAGAGAGTGGAATTCGTGCTCAACTCGTTGTGTTGAGCTGCTGCCACACTGGTCGGGGTGACATCAAGTCTGAGGGAGTGGTAGGAATGACTCGAGCATTTCTTGCCGCAGGAGCCCGTGCCGTTGTAGCGTCGTTGTGGGCCATTAATGACCAAGCTACTGAGCTCTTTATGTTAAAATTCTATTCTCATCTCAAGAATGGAGAGAGTGCAAGTACGAGCCTACAGCAAGCAATGAAGGAGATGAGAGAAACAGAGAAATACAAAGAGCCAAAATACTGGGCTGCCTTCTTTCTTATTGGAGACGATGTAACCATCTAAGTGTAGTTTAGTATCCAAACGTTGCATATGCAATTCATATTTTAAGTTGATAATGAAAAACTAATTTTCCCCTTGTTTGCGACGAATTGAATGAAATTCAATTAAATCAATAGTTCCGAATGGCTTACTATCTCTAGTTACCCTGTGATTTTCTTGATTGAAACATCGCAAGTCTTCACAAATATAAGGTCATATCGTTGTAAAATTTATAACAAAAAGAATGTCTGTAGTTTTTTCCAAGAAGATAACTAAGTCCCGCGCTATACGCCGAACTTCACATGTGTCGAATACAATTCACGAATTAAATGAATGTGAGATGCGGCTTATAAATCAATTAAATTCGACAGTATTGGATTAAATACGATCAGTCGAATCTGCGACTTAAACAGTCGAAAATACGGCAATGGTGCGGCAGGTCTTACGCCGTATCTCACATGTGCCGAATACAATGCATACATTTTCTTCAATAACATGAATTACAAGGCATCAGGGGACCTTCGCGACCGCTAGTCAACTACAGTGTCCTTCACAATATAGGGACCAATTCGTTCTAGAATGTAGATCTAGACACTCTGAATGTCTTTACTCAAACTTCTGCATGTTCGATTAACATTGCGAGGAATAGTGACAGCTCTTCTTCCGTATATAATTATTACAAGGGACAGCATACAAACGTTTATCAAGTGCCTACGTCAAGTGTATATAGACAGTTTCATATAGACAGTTTATTGCAGATTGTATTTTAATTAAAATAACATACGTTTCTTATTAATTAAAATGATTAGCATTGAAAACATTTCTGTTATCCGCCATATGAGCTTAATGATGCTGTCCTAGGGGCTCTTTGTGCAGAAAATGACTAAAAAAATCACTTATAAAGGCCATTTTTGGCGAATTCAAGACCGACCACTCGCTAATCAAACGAGCTGTCTTGAATTCTCCAGGCGTCTATGAAATGTACATTCCAGGGAATTTTTTTGATTGACAGCTCCATATATGGAAGACAAAACAATTTTTACTCGGGGTTCCTGTGGAGCCGCGAGTTTAGGTTTCGGCGTTATTATTACTCGGGGTTCCTGTGGAACGCCGAGTATTAATTTCGGCTTTATTTTTTGCCAGGCGGGTTTGTAGTACGTATTCCATATATGGCACTAACTAACAAGCGAATAGAAGCACCTAACAAGCGAATAGAAGCACCTAACA